CAGGGGGGAGGACCTTATCAATGTCTCTAAATAATTAATGGGAGGGAGTAAAGAAGATGGAGCCAGACTCTTCTCAGTGGTGCCCAGTGAAAGGCAAAAAGGCAATGACAGCAAACAAACAGAAAATTCCATTTAAAGACAAGAAAACTGTGAGGGTGGTCCAACGCTGGCTGAGGTTGCCTGGAGAGGTTATAGAATCTCCATCCTTGGAGATGATCAAACCCTGATGGGACACGGCCTTGAGCAACCTGCTCTAGGTGACTCCACTTCGGGCAGGGAGGGTTGGACTGGACAATCTCCAGAGGTGCCTCTCAACCTCAACTAGTCTGTGATTCTGTGCCTCTGAAATCAGCTTCTCCACCCATTTCACCTTCAACACGTGTGGAAAGGAGACACTAGGTAAAAAATGCACAAACTCTTTCAAACAAATTACAATTATTACTGTTGGTCCTCTTCTAGGTTTTCACCTGAACTGCTTCTGATAGCCTGGTGCACAACCCTTATGTGCTTTAACCATGCTATGGTAACTTTAAAAACAAGGAAAAACATATCACCAACAGGATGAACTTGTTCATATAAGATGAGGTAGAAGGAAAGTATTTTGTATCTTGGTTACCATTTCTGAACTATGCCAAGCCTGCTATTTAAGCAGGCATCCCACATCACTTCTGAGTCTTCATATTTCACCGATCTGCAGTGTTATGAAGGAACATGTCCTGCATTTTACAGTGATGCCAGCCTCTTAGAACTATTTTCCTATCATTGGGCTATTTTAAAACATGTTTCATTTCCAACCCTTTTATTATAAATGGATTCTTTCTCTTCAACTGCAAATCTCCATTTTTTATACACAAACCAAGATCATATATCAAGAAAAATAACGTAAAAAGCATGCTTTTTCCCCAGACATAAATAAAACCTGCAAAACTTCAAAAAAAACCACCTCCAAAGCTCTTAAAATTGTGCCATATGTTTATACTTTTACGAAAGGGCACCAAACCTTAAAATAAAAATTACAATAAAATGCTATTGATCATCTTCATTGCTTTATGTATGAAACCGAAGCCTAGATATTTATATAAGCTATATAAGTCTATATATCCTTTACTTATAAATACTTGCATATAAAAAAATCAGGCATACGGAACATAACCTATCTAGGAAGAAATATTGCTCTATTATGCAACCGTTCCACTAAGGATATATTTTCTTTGAACACGATGTATAGATAGGTGATCTACAAGGATAAATTCTATAGAGCCTTACAGCGTTGAGCATCCCTGCTGTGCATAATAAAGCCCTGGCAAGTGGAATCCAAGCTGAGGTCTCCTAATGGCAAGCAGAGCGCCCGGACTGCAGGTGCTGCAGAGGCAGGAGGACTATCCCGGTCACACAGATTGCTGTTGCTCGGTTTGCAACCAAGCCCTGCTGCCAGGGAGCCTCCATTCAGAGTGGGTTCATTGCCACCTTCTTGGCTCAACCAGAAAAGAATCTTAATGAAAGCATGAGAGAGGCTGTCTTAAGCTTTAGCAGCGCATTTTAATATAGGAATTAAAAACACCTCTCTAGGAGCAGATGATTTAGTCATAATCATCCTTAGCTCTTTTTTTTTTAACCCCTTTTTCAATTGACTTATCAAAATTATTCAGAAATGTTTAATTTTAATCATTGGGGGGGGTGTCAGTTGATCAGATAACATATGACTATAACTAATTTTTGTTCACTTTCAACAATCAGCCAGAAAGGCACAGCAATACTTGCTAAATTCCATGTGATATCCTGTAATATCCTTCTTTGTCTCTCCTTGAAAACATAATGAAAAATCTGGCAAAAGGCAAGCATATTCTCTACAAGGTTCCACAGTCGGGTGAATCAAATAAACTGCTTTCTTCCCTTCAGAACATTATTTTATGTCCGACCTGTGAAAGTATTTACATTTATCAAAAGGAGGTGGGTTCAATTTACAGAACTACCAGCTGCTGGAGTCCTACTGCAGTATAATGGAGTTTCAGTGAATGTGAGAGATAGTTACAAGGTCACGACTTCTATATTTATTTCAAAATGTAACAAGGAATTACTACATATACAACTGATATTTGAAAATACGAACTGCAGGATGAAAATAAAAAAAGTGAAAACACTCGTAACATTCCTATACGTTATCAGAACGTATCCTCACATTGTCAGTATTCGGACAGGAATATATATTTTTAGTATGATTAAAGAATGTTTGCATCCCAAATTCAACAGCACTGGAAAAGATAAGCTGTATATTTTAAACGCTGTGGAAAGAGGAAAGGGGAATAAATAATCCTTTAAAACTGTTTCCTAGATACGTGATATTAAATTTAAAAGAAAACAGCACTCACAAAAGTCACTTCATGGAAGCTCTTAAAAGAACAGTATGATACCTAGGTCATCGTTACCATGTCTTCTGTAACCTGTAATCCTACTAAGAAGCATGAAACTCTTCCAAGCTGTGTCAATATACATGCATGAAACCTTTTTATGTATGCAGAAAGCATGAGAAATATCATTCACTTTTGATTTGCAACAGGAAAAAAAAAATAATTACCTTTCTTGTGAAAATGCAAGTGTATTTACCATTGATGTGCTGGGCCAAAATCAATTCTCCACAGAAATGAAGGAAGATATACGGAAAGGAGGTAAAAGGGGGCACACACCAAAAAAAAAAAAAAAAAAAGGAAAAAAAAAAAAAAAGATGGCTATAGAGCTGCAAAATTTGCATTGTAGCTGTTCCTCATTTTTAAAGGTGCTGCCAGTCTAGGCATCTTTGTAAATGTTAATTTTCTTATCAGCTCATGCAGAATGACTTTCCTTCAGGCACATGGAAGGGTTGTACGTCCTCACAGCCTGAAGCTGCATACAAATGTTCACTGCAAAAGTGACTGGGCTGGTAGTTGGTGTTGCCACTGCTCAGCTGTTCCTCATTTGCAGAAGATGCTGTGACTTCTCCCCATCTGTTTCACATCTTGTGAAAATGCAAGTGTATTTACCATTGATGTGCTGGGCCAAAATCAATTCTCCACAGAAATGAAGGAAGATATACGGAAAGGAGGTAAAAGGGGGCACACACCAAAAAAAAAAAAAAAAAAGGGAAAAAAAATCTTCATGCTGCATTACTATACACAACTGATCTACAAGCCTTTTTTTTCTGCCTTATTCACAAACTTAGTCATTTTACCAGCGCTACAGGAAAAATATGAAACACTTCTTCACAGGTAGCAATTTCGATTAAAATGAGAGGAACATGAACAAAGTAAAAGCTGTATGTGATCAAAGACCTGCTGGATACCTGAGTCAAACAGTTATTTCAGAGCAAGGTACAAGAGCTAGTCATGCATATGGATGACCTCTCACAAATTAAATGCTAATCAGGAATGCATCTCAACATTAAAAAAAAAAACACATGTGGACTATGAAGTAGATCTGTAATCTCTTTTACTAAGCAAAGACTAACAAAAAGCCCTCATTATCAATTTCATACTGCATACATCCAATATTAACCACAAATACCAGCAATAAAAGCTCCGGTTTTTCCATATTAAGCATGCCAGCTACGTTTCAAACATCCTAACTTGTGTAATGTCTCTGCAATCCTTTCACAGAGTCCCTACCAGAATGCAATCAGGAGGTCAAATGACCAGAAGACCTAACAAGCATGCAGCTCTTCAGACGCGTGTGGATGCTAAAATGAACAGTTTGACCACGAAAGAATACACATTCCCTTTTAGCAACTTCAATACTTACCTTGCGGAAGGGATGGATGGGAAGTAGGGGGCTAAGCATCTGCTCCTGGCTGCCTACGCGCCCCAGGGCTGCCCACAGCCATCCTTCTCCTTAGTCCTCGGCCAGGAGGTGCAATGCCCAAGCAACTGCCCCAGCTTGTGTAGGACAACTTAAAGTCAGGAAATGAGAGGCTGGGGAAGCGCCGGCTGCCGCCCGGCACCACTGGGCAGATGCTGCTGCCAGCGCCGCAGGCTGGGATCAAACGCACAGAATCTCCCTTTACATAATAGGAAATGACTCCTGTAATCTTATGTTTTCTGTTAAAGCGTTGTATGCTTCATGAGCAGCCAAAAGCTTTGCCATGCAGCATTCAGGGATTTAGGGCTGATTCTTCTTTAAAAATAAATAATAAAGAAATCTATCAGTCAGAATTTTTAGTAGATTGTACCATACACCACAGAAAGCCTTTCCCCACCTTACCACAGGAAACATCATGCACGCTTAAAAGAAATTACATAAAATTCCCCGTGTCTTTAAAAGCATTTTCTAATCCATTTCAATAGAAATGCTTTTTTTTTCCATCTGTGTGCCCTTTACTTTCAAACATACCCATTGAAAAAACTATAAGCAGCTCTATAAATAAACCCAGTTCAGGATTACATATTTTCCTAACAAGAAATGTCTTTGCCTATCACAAGATAATATTAGTTCAAGTTATGAAAAAAAAAAAGTCAAAATGTACTGCTCACATTCTAGTGTCTTTTCTGTACTGCACTTCTGAAAGAAAAAAGGGACATCCGATTCTTACCAGCAATGATAACAGAAAAATCCCATCCACGTGTTTTCCTCATCACTAAATAACAGATTTAATCACAATCAAGCCCATATGTTTAAAAAAAACCCCAACAAGATCATACTGATTTTTCAACCTGCAAAATCTCAGCGAACGATTTCTGATGCAAGACTGCCTTTTTAGCTATGCAGTTTCTGTTTGACCTTACAGAATAATCTACACAAGTCGCAGCGTTACCTTTCCAGAGATGCACAGGGCAGGAACCAAAAATCTAACGCATCCCTCAGACCCAGTCTCCACACCATTTTCTCATCAGCTTGCACCTTCGCGAGGAGCAAATTGCCAAATAAACAAGCTCAGAACGGAAAGGGGAAAGATTTAATTTTTTTATTATTATTATCGTTATCATCATCATCATCATGATTATTATTCTCATGCTGTGGATGTCGCTACTTACTTGGCTAAGATATCATCACAAATCCCCCCAAAAGGCTTTCAATGAGGCGGCGGAGCACTGGCGGTGTGGCATCTGTGGGGGCCGGCGGCGCGGCGCGGGTCCCTCTGCAGACTGTACCACCGCGGCGGGCGGGCGGGGAGGCAGCGCGGCGCCCGGCCCGGCCCCGCCGCGGGGAGAGGCGGCGGAAGGGGGGAGAACCGGCGGCGGGCGGGAAAAAAAAAAAAAAAAAAAAAAAAAAAAAGGAGGGAGAGAAAGAAAAAAAAAAAAAAAAGAGAGAAAAAAAAAAAAAATACCGTCTCGGGAAGGAAAAAATGGACTCAACCACCATGTTTGTTGTTTGGGATTTTTAATGCTTCCCTCGGGATAATGACAAAAACGGAAGATGGCAAACTACCAGGAATATGCCACTTGCTCGGGAACGGGAGAAACCTTCAAGGACAAGGGCTGTCAAGCGCTATCGCTGTCAGCGGAGCGGGAGGGGGGAGCGGAGGGCTGGGTACCACCGAGGGGCGAGGGGAGCGGCGGAACCTCCGCACCCCCGAGAGCCGGGCGCTGGGGCTCCGGCCCCGACCCGCTGCCCCGGCCTCGGGAACCCACTCCACCTCGGGCACCAAACCCAACAGCCAGGTCTCCTGCCGATGACTTCCTAATCACCTTTCGCAAAGATGCAGCCTGCTCTCCTTCTGCTTATGTAAGGACAACGCTGATCACCATGAAAACAACAACAAATTCTTGCAGGGCTGCCGTGGCTTTGTTGTATTTGTGACCCTGCCATGCCTTCCACAAACGTAAAGCCCGTCCAGGAGAGGCAGGCAAAATACCCTCCTCTTTAATCTGCTCTGCTCACACGAGCGTTCGCTGGAAAACCATCCATGCCTGCATCATGCATGTCACAGTAGCTTTATGCCCCCTTTCCCCCCCCCCCATATATATTTTTATTTAACCATACAAAATAAAGCACTCTGCCTCACGATAATGACAGCCTTACACTTGGAGGAATCAGGGTATTTTATCTTGCTATCTATTTTGTGGTATTTCTTTAAAAAAAAAAAAAAATCTACCTGTTATTTTGAATTATCAGCACATGCAGGATTCTGAAAGGTACAGGGCTTTTTCAATGGAATACCATGTTATAGCCCTGCAAAAAAAAAATCCAAGTACTAAAAATAAGACAGAGACATCAGTCCTTTAAAAAGCATAACATTTCCTGTGTAATAGTTTGGGGTTTTTTTTTTTTCAAAGTAAATTGTGATCAGTACGTGTACCCTGTTCAGACTGCGACTTCAAATTCTGTACCTCACCCCATTCAATCCTGAGAGTGACTCAAGACAGCAAAATACCGTGTTTTTTCTTGAAGTCTGTATAAAAGAGTGCAGCTGAAAGTTGGGATGTTTTCTGTAGTATCCTAGGACAGCAGTGGTTCGTGACTTCCCCCTGCCTTGGCCGGAGTGGGCAACTGGAAGTGAGCGGACCTCCCCGAGCACTAATAGGAGTAGCTGTGCTGATGCTCTGTCATCCTGCCTTACTCGCTGCTCAGAATATCAATTCAGCCAGTTAAACCAAAAGTCTGTACTGCACTGCACCAAAATGGAAGCTATTTAAAAAAAAAAAAAAAAAAAGAGAGAGAGAGAGGAAAAAAAAAAAAAAAGAGCTAGGATCATTGATCAGGAGTTTTATCTATGCTGATCAATTTTTTTTTAATGAAGTAAAATGTAAATCAAGACTAGGATCAATGCAGATTTTTCTCATGTGAAACTGCCTTTATCGTTAGAAAGCTACAGGCAATTCCATGCATGCCAGGACACTCTATGCAGTGACTTTGTGTTATATTAAGCAGAGAGACGTGTCCCCTTTTTTCTTAGCAAGCCTTTGGTACAAACTGCAGCTTTAAGGAGTGTGGAGTGCAGGCTCCAAACTGAATTCGAGCATTGAACAAAACAGTATCAGAACAACAAAAGCGTAATATTTAAGATGTTCTGTGCTTAGGTCCATAAATGCTGGTGACCTCTACTGCGCTGTCAGAAAAGCAAGAAGATACCAAGATAATCTGCAATTATTTAGCTGCTGAAATTCATTTTTTTCAGTACGAATTTTAAAGGTAACTTGAAAAGCAATAAAAGGTTGATTGACACAGTACCAAAATACATTAAAGAAGATTTTTTTTTTTTAACTGTCTTTCCTGGATTAAGAGAGGAACAGTTTAAAGAAATTCAACACAGTATAAAAACTTGTTCCATACATTTGGCTATTGCCAGTTTTGAGGACTGCTGCTCTGAAAGATTGTGTGCCATACTCCAGAAACTTCAGCCCAGGTAGAGAACCATAATGCCTATACTTTACTTAATCAGGAAATACTCTAATTGTTATTTTTGATTAATAAAATAGGCAAGGGAATAAGAGGAGGAGGAAAATAACAAAAAAGAATCTTCAAAAGGAAAAAAAAAATCCTAGTTTGAACTATTATAGACCCAATCCAAAGGAACAATTTTTCACATGAGTATTCCCAGCGCTCATTTAATTTAGGGCCTCGAAAGCACCCTACCACATATGAAGATGAACAAGCTATTAACCTTTTTGCTAGGCTCATCAGTCTGGAGCCTGTTCACAGCACTGCGTGTGTTTTACTGCTAGTGTTGGTGCTACCTTCATCACAACGCTGGTAGTCATCCTCCTGCCACATGGGCAAGAGCAGGCCAAGCAGTAACACTGAGCTCAACCCCAGAAGATGCCCTTTCCGGCCTGAGAACTGCACTGCTATGTCACGGCACCATCCCCACCACCGGGAGCTTGTCCTGCTTTTGGATCAAGAAGAACGAAGAGTCACATTATATTTGTCCTTACTTAAAGCTACCAAGCCCAAACTCTTCAGAAATGCTACAGATCCTTTCTCCAGCTGCTGAGCACCAGCACGGCTGAGAGTCAACACCAGGAAGTCCTCTGGGTCCTCCAAGAAGACAGAGGACCCAGCTGCAGGGCGAAGGATGCGCTTGCTGTCCTCGGAATTACAAACCCACCCAACCCAGGGAATACCCACTAGACAGAGGTACGGTGGTGTATTACAACCAAAGCTAAAAATAGCAATCCCCCCCCCCCCCCCCCAAAATGGACCATTTAATAAGCAGCACCAACAGTAATATTCTGACCTCAGAATTTAAAGGGGGGCTTTTTTTTACTGGTTTAAACACAACTGTGAAATAAGTAAAATTTTCCAACTGGCTTGGCTTTCGGCATGCCCAACCCAAAATGGCTGCAGTGGTAGCTGGCGCTTTTTCTAGATATTTCATCATAAAATGTAATAGCAAAGCAGTGCAAAACAATGTGGCACCTGAACAGTGCCTCTCCTGAAAGGAAGATCTGTTAGTGCACCTTCACGCTTATCACAGTGTCCAGCGGCCTATTATTTAGCTCTGACAAAAGAGCAATTTAACACCTTAACTTGGGGGCAAGGAGTGGAAATGGAGCAGAATAGGAGCAGAAAAATGGAAAAGAAAATAGAAAGATGCTTCTTGGGACTAAGTTTTAAAAACACAACAGTGCTTATGGGATGTGAAAGGAATGGGACTTTAGCTGTGGAGCTTGAAATATGACTTGAAAAATTGCTTCTCCGGTAAAACTTCAACTGACAATACAGAAAATATTCAGGGGCAAAACAAAGAGTCTAGCTAATTTCTTTGGACAAAAACTGAATTCCATATGTGCTGGTGATAGGCATCATAAGCACATTTCAAGGTCTTTATGAGATAATTAATGACAGGAAACGCAGGAACATAATTTTAATTCCTCTTTCAGGATCTTGGGGACCAAGACCTCCTTTTCAGCAAGGCAGTCCAATCAGAGGACTAGCACTGGAAATCAGTAGCAGATTTCTAATACTCTTCTAATCACAACCCAGATACTGAAACTAGAACAGCAGACTGGCAGCCTTTCATATTTTTAAACCTAATTTCCTACATTTTAAAAACAAGAATTAAATCTGTTTTCAGACTCAGTGTTTCTCCAGTTTTGTAACATTCTGCAGTAATATGTCTGCAAAGAAACAGCTTGCATTTCCAAACTGCGCAAACATGTTGTTATCCTGGGAAGCAACGTGACCTAATAAAAGAAGTTGAGGAGAGGGACCTCAGAACACTCAAATTCAAGGACTTGCCCTGCTGTTTCTTGACAGTGAGATGTTAGTAGGTCACTTGATCCCACTGTGCTTCAATTTCCCTAACTATCAAATAAGTGTATTCACTATTTTAAATTACAGCAGTTATAAGTTGCTTGATTGGTTAACCCTTTCCTGCCTTTGAGGGAAGGGTGTTTGAGATACCTGAGTCTACTCGGTGCAGTACTGAAGGTTAGGAGACAAGGAGCATTTAAAACACATAAGCTCACTGCTGCCTTGAACTGTTCTATCTACCGTATTTATTTTACTCTACAAATTACTACTTGTTCTGATAAATTATTGTGGTCCTGATCCTCCTAGATCAGAATCCCAGCTTTCTCAATATCTGAAAAGAAGCCTACCAGCCAGTCAACACTCCAGTTACCTCCTGCCCTTGGATCTGTACCATCTGATATCTATGAATACACAAATTTTTCCTCTTCCATTCCCTAACCACATCCAAAAAGAGCAGATGCCTACAAGGTTGGGCTGGCCCTGCTGTCCCCCTCCCTGCCACATCATTAGTGCTCGGAAAACAAAACCAGACTCTCAGGATCACCCAGGCAGGAAAAAAGGTCATTAGGGCCCTTCAAGAAGAACAAAACAGCAGAGCTGACTGGAAGCAGCATTAATAAGCTGGAGCTTCCCAATAAAGTTGAAGTAAACCTGACTCCCTGCCACTGCCCAACCACAGCAATGACAGAGAGGCACCTTAACGGTCTCCTCCAAAGCCATCTGTACTTGCCACACTGAGCATCTGCAACATCTGATACCAGCTAAACCTAAAGCCACAGCTGAAATCAGCTTCCTCATGATCCCAACAGTCTAAGACATTCCTAAGAACATGAAAACAGTATTAAGCAAGCATTCTACCTTCTTTAACGACAGAATCTTCCGTCTCACGTGCAGATTAGAAAAAACTGGTTTTTGACACTCAGAATAAATCTTAACCAATAAACTGGCCTAACAAGAGCTTGAAAGA